ACCCGGCACTCGACTCAGGAAAGAAGGCAACCCAAGTGTCTAACTTTGCCGGAGTTCTTCTTGTTGACGATGAACCTAAGTCTTACACTGAAGCCATCAGTTCAGAGGATAGTGCTGAATGGAAAACAGCAATGGCCAAAGATGTGGCATCCATGCATACACACGGTGCATGGGAATTGACCGAACTCCTTCCGGGAAAAAAGACTGTCAACAAGTGGGTCTACCGAATAAAGCGCAATTCTGATGGAAGTGTTGACAAATATCAAGCAAAATTGGTCATCAAAGGATGTGCGCAAAGACCTGATATTGATTATGCTGAAACCTTCAGCCCGGTTGCTTGTCTGGAGGTCGTTCGATCAATATTGTCCATTGCAGCTGTTGAGAAGATGGTTCTATGGCAGTTTGACGTCTCAACTGCGTTCTTGTACGGAGACGTTGAAGAAGAGATTTTATGAAGACACCTGAAAGATATTCAGATAGGACAAATCGTGTTTGTTGTCTCAAACGCAGCTTATATGGCCTGAAACAGGCACCTCGATGCTGGAATAAACAGTTTGACGACTTCATGAAAGGCTTAAGATTTCGACAGAGCCTTGAAAATCCCTGTGTCTAAATTTGTCCTACCCCTGCTGGAAAAATCATCGTTGCACTCTTATGTTGATGACAGATTAGTCGCAGCGACTAGTCAGACTGAAATAGACTTATATATTTGGCAGCTTCGTTCACAATTTGAAATTGTTGCTAAAGGAGTGTCATACTTTCTCGAACTCAAAATTTCTCAAAGTGATGGTGATATATTGGTCTGCCAATCAGCGTATATCAAGAAGATCATTTCTCGATTCAACATGGATGGATGCAAGCCAGTACTTACTCCCATAGAGAAGCTCACTGCTCAAACACCAGGGAAAGCCTCCGATTTTCCATACCGGTCGGCAGTTGGAGCCCTACTTTATGTTGCTAAATCAATCATTAATGTTGCTCGTGGTACTCGTTTTGTTGTATTTAGTGTAAGTGTTCTATCACGTCACTTAGAAAATCCTACACAAGATGATGTCACACAAGCAAAGCGTGTTATACGCTATTTGGCCGGCACTGTGGACCAGAAGCTAGTGTACCAATCTAAACCTAAAACACGTCTACTGGAGTGCTATTGTGACGCGGACTTTGCTGGTTGTCCAACTACAAAAAATTCCCGCAGGGGGCCCATGCTTGCGTGAGTACGTGACCTGGCGACCACGCCAACCCTAGCTCTTGACCCCCAGAGGGGAGGTAACTGTCCGGTGTTGGAACCAGCGCTCAGGTAGACCACAGTTATGGACGACTGGATGTGCCAGCCCCTTCGGGGAAGCCCCCAGTGACATTCCATCATCCAGGTTGGTGGGGTGTTCAGCTCTCAGTGATGCCGCTTTTTGCCGCCTCTCCTCATCTGCCTGTGGCTGTGGTTCTTGGGATTAGTCCTGCCTGATGTGTATGACTAACATTATGTGTGGAATATCCTCGGCTCTGGAAGTAGCCTCTTCCTGGGAGGTGAAAGTCGGGCAAGTAAGCCCCCACTGAAGGGGAGGTAACCGTCCGGTGTTGGAATCGGCATTTCAAGTAGGCCATAGTCATGGATGTCTGGTAAGCGCCAGCCCCTTAGGGGGAGCCTCCAGTGACACTCCTCCATCCAGGTTGGTGGGGTGTTTAGCTCTCGGAGAGGTGGAAGTGCGCCATCAATCTCCCATCTACCTGTGACTATGGTTCTTTGGGCTTCAGCCTGCTTGCTCTGTGCGACCAGCATTCTGTGGGGCAAATCCTCGACTTTAGAAGTAGCCTTTCTTGGAGGTGAAATCGGGCAAGTACCCGTAAGCTCACGGGGACACTCTAGGGGAACGTAACTTTCCGCAGTGTGAGGGTAACGGCTGGGCGCACTCCATTAGCCAATCCCTGTCTCTGAGGTCGGAAGGTATGGTTATCTAGAGTGTGGGGGGTTTTCTCTGGAACCTCAATTGAGTTAAGGGTGTCGCCACCTTTGGTGGATAGGTTCATCCGGGTGAGTCCCACTTCTAAACCCGCCTCCTTTTGGGAAACCCCGAGGGCCTGGCAGTGATGTTGGGTTTGATGGGCAAACGAAGTAGATCGGGTGTTGGGATCAAGCCCGCTAGGGGTAACTGGGGATCCATCGCCCTGGGTATCACTGGTTTCCCAGCAATGGGATGGCCTCGATCGGGTAGTGGTGGAAATGGGGGGTTGGGGTCCCCTTCCTCCTGGTTTTGATGGCGGGTTTTGGCCTGTCAGGGATTGGATAGGTCCCGAGTGTTGCTTGCACTAAATGTGTCAGGGCATTTCATTATGGGCCTTCAGGTTTTGTACCTGCTGGTTCCAGGTGGAGTGACGCTTAACCAAGTAGCCAGTATCCCTGGTTAGGATTGAGGGGCAACCCTGATGACCTTAAGTCATCCGTCCATGGTGTGCCAAGGTTGGTGCGTATGTTCCGGCCTACACCATGGGGCCCGGGTATATTTAATTAGAGGTACCGGGTTGTAGTTGAGGGGCTTCGGCTCTTTCGACAAAACAAAATGGAAATGGAAATGTCCAACTACAATGCGTTCACCAAGTAGAGTTATTATTAAATATGCGGGTGCAGCTATCACTTGGCTTACTCATCGTCAGGAGTTAGTTGCAGACTCAACTTGTGAAGCTGAAATCATTGCAGCTAATCTTGGTTCAAAATAAACAATCTGGATTTCTCGTTTGTTCGAACTTATAGGTTTGTCTGCTGTTCCTAACTGAAAGTTGACAAAGAATCAGCAAGAAAACTCTGTGAAAACCCTGAGTTTCACTTTCGTACAAAACATATTCAGCGGAAGTACCTTTTCATTCGAGAAAGGATAAATATAGGTATGCTGACTGTAAAGCACATCATTTTGGAATCTCAACTAGCAGATATACTAACTAAGCCTATACCTCGACCAAGACTTCAAGTTCTACGAGAAAATCTTGGACTCTCGGCATGACTATGCTAATAAGGGAAAGTGTTGAAAATGCCTGCCTTTTTTATTTATTTGTAATAGTCATACTTCATATGATGTAAATGTTGTTTTTACTATCAGCTGTCTGTTTTTTGTTTGTCCAAAATTTTGTTCCTTGCAAAGATTGTTGAGAAATACATTTGCTTATTTTTATAGTTTAAATTCGTTTTTCGTCGTAGTTATACTTAGATTATCCTTAAACACCTCCACTTAAAAGAATAATTCAAGAAGCATCAGGCGATTGTTGTGGAGGAGTTTATTAAAAATGGCGTTTCTGTGATTTCTACTCAACAAGCGTTTCGGATTCGATTCGACCTTGGCCGACGTGAGAGTGTTCCTGATACGAAAACTATTAGACTATGGGTGTTAAACTTTGACAAACAGGGTCAGCACTAAAAATAAAACCAACTGGCCGACCTGGATTCTATTCCAGGCGAGGCCCTTGGAATAGAATCCCAGGGCCGCAATGTGCGTTCGAATTGTCGATGATCATGTGTCATGCAGTTCACACGTCAACGCGCGTTTAGCTGCGTTTTTCATCGACCAACGAGCCAAGTGATCCACCATTCAGGGTAATATTTCCACCAGATTTTCATCTAGGTAATGTTAGCTTGTAACCGATCGTTATATGTGGCAAATCAGTCTTGAAACCGAATGTTTCAGTTAGGCTGGGTCCGCGCTACAAAGTATAAATAACTTCGCGCTCAGTTAGATCGATGACATTAGACCATGTACCAACTAATATCTATACCTATAAAAGAGGAACTATATATATATATATATATATATATATATATATATATATATATATATATATACCTTATATATATACCTTTTATATATATATATATATATATATATATATATATATGTACGTTATGGTCTCCAAAACCGCTCAGATTGACAGTTTGTAATAATTCTTTCAGGCATTATCAAGCATCTTTCAAGCATAGTTTGTGTGAAGTTTGGTGCAGATCCGTCAAAAGGGCTCCGCCCCAGAGGGTTTTAAGTGGGCCAGTGTCAGACTTTTTGAACTACAATGTTAACAAACAAATATAATTTAAAAGCTGATGTTTACTTTCACCAACTTTTTGGTAGGTTTGAATAATCACAACATTCTGTATTTGTCATGATTTGAAATAGTGTCACAATGTTTCCACAGAGTGCAGCACAGAAAAATATTTTCTTTTAATCTCAACAACATTTAAATTCTCCAATGTTAAATATGTGAACATAAAAACCTTTATCAAAGTATTATAAACAATAAAAGGGGTGGCAATGCCTTAATATTTTTATCTTTTGTTCTATACCCACACAATCTAACATAAATTATTAGTGAATAATAATCGTGCGTGCTATCTCGGGTATTCAAATGCCTCTCAATTTGTCATTAACCTACCACATTACTGTCGTTAAAAGAAAGAACTCAAATAATACTAATGCGAAACTTAAATCCACCGAAGCTGTGCAACGTTACCAGACTGACGATTAAAAAAATGACACCAAAATTGATTGAAGCAAAAATTATCAGTGGAAAGTTTAAAGGAGAAATAGTCTTAATCCCAAGAATAGTGATGATTTCGTCCGAATTACCCTTAACTACAATTTCCTTTGTATCTTGCTTTTGCAATCACCATTATAAGGCACTAGGGCAATCCCTGACTATTGTTGGTTTAAATTTAGAAAATGCATGCTTTTCACAGGAACAGCTGTATGTAGTGTACACGTGGTAGTAGGTACGCCTAAAAACTTATATATTTATACACCTAATGAAAAAACAAAAAAACATTGTTTATCCACTGGCAATTAAGTAAAATATTTTATTTTTATTTTTGGTATACACTTGTATTATTCATCGCAAAGAACAAATTACCATTTAAAATAATAGTTGTTAGGCGCAGAAATGCGTGCCGTGTATTTAATATATTTGTTTTCATATTATGTTAACAAAGCAGCAGAGTAGTAAATAATTAAGGTATTATTTTACAGTGGTGGAATAGAGCGAGACTGGATTGGTGTACCAAGAAAGTTTTATGAACCTGGAGGCAGTTCTTATCGATGTGCTTGCGTTAACAATGCTGATCTTCCTCAAGTTATATCACCTGAAACAGGGAAAGTAAGATCAAAGAACATCGAAGAATACGAGGACTGTCATCCTAAATCTAGCAGTTGTTTTGTGGATGCAGACTAATTTGTTTAGTTCTTACACAACTAGATTGAATAATTCTTAGTTTTATTAATAGCTTTGTAAGCTTAAAGACCATGCTGTATCAACCCACGGAAAAAAGGGGAGAGTCGTGAACACGATAACTTGTGTAATGTTTGTCCGATTTTGATGAAATTTGGTTTCAAGGTGTAAGGCGGGATAAACTTGAATGAGTTTGCGAACCAGCATGATCGGACCATGGAAACGGAGTTTTACGGGGGGTTTTATAGGGTAAAAATTGGGTTTTCTCATTTTTGACCATAAAAAAAAGTTTTCAAATTTCTCTCTTGACCATTTTAAAGAGCTTAAAAAGACAAATAATTTAGTATATCAAAGTGTTTTTGTATGGTTTTTGGTAACGGATGAAATTCCAAAAATTGTTAATTTGAAATTCCCATGGAGAATATTGTAAAATCTTGTAGTTTGCTTGTTTATGGATATATTTTGATCAAACTTGGCAAATTGATTTATTTTATACTGTACTGAGCTATTAATATTTTACTAAAAAACACATTTTATTAGTTTCCTTGTAGCAGCAAACCTATTTACTCGTTAAAACAAATGTTATTTAAATCCATTTAATTGAAAATTAATTCAGACAAATGGAAATTCAAAGTCTGCAGGTTTGCTGCGGCAAGGGTATTTTACCTTTTTACGCTCCTTTCACACTATACATTTTTCGCAGTCCGGTTAAAAATTGTAACGGGAATTTTATTAGTACTGTTATGAAGAGCATGAGAGCTTTCGCAGTACATGGCTCTGCGAATTCAGAGGACCATGCTGGAAGTCTTGCAGCCGTCCATTTCCACTGAACCGGAAGGTTGTCGCAATGTGTCCATGGATGTAGTGGCATGAGTGCCTTTACACTGTTCGGTGTTTTTATTCGGGCAGGAGCCAGGCCCCACTAGAAAAACATGCTGCAGTACGGGCAGCGCAACACTACGTCACAGTGGTGGATAGTTGTACTAAACTCTTACCATTAAAATCTTAAAACAAACAGCTTGTTTATTTACCTAATACATATGGGAATGGCGATGGCAATGAATTTATCAATGAAATCTATCCACTAGTGTGACGTCATGGATCCTGCAGCATGGCCTGTTTTTTCTAGTGGGGCCTTGGCAGGAGCCTGCCAGCCCTTGTCAATTGGCTTTGTTCATGTTTTTGTGTGTTGTGTGTATCAGTTCATCATTTTCACATTTTGATATTATTAGCTGTTTAATAATAACAGATGCTTGTTATTAACCTAAATAAATTCAAACCAGTGTATAAAACTTCTTACAAAGATAAGATTTTAAAAAGAACATCTGACAAGATTTACTCATTTTAAAACTGCCAAATTCTTCTCTCTTAGAGTTTATTTTATGCACCCATTAAAGATGATCCCTCACATAGTTTTTACCATGTCGAAGAAATTGCCACAATGCCAAAAGTTGTAAACTTGTAAACATTGCTTTTGGCCAGGGCCGGATTTCCCAATAGGCCCGGTAGGCCCGGGCCTATGGGCGCAAGGTCCCAGAGAGCGCACGGCTGAGAGGATTTTTTTTATATATCTAAAAATAAAAATAAATAGTCTTAGTTGATAAAAAATATGCTTAATACAGAGTTGTGATTCTGAAGTTCATAAAAAGAAATAATCGTTAGGAAATTTAAACTATTTTTCAGAATAACGCATCATTTCGTTACACAATTGGTAACGAACCTTGGTTAAACGAGAGTAAGCTGCAGGGATGTTGACGTTGACGAGCGCCCAAGGGGTACGCATCGTATTGCCACTGCACTGCCACTCGGTACTACCGATTACAGTGATTAGGGGCGCATGCGTGCTAGACATTGTTAACACCCTCACCTCACAAAACAGTTATTAACTAATCTTTTGATTAGTTTACAACAATCTGCAGGATCAAGTTAAAATATATAATAGCAATATTAAATTTAATATATTACGTTGTGAATGTTAAAACAACGATGAATTTACCTTTAAAATTTACAAAAAAATATTAATCTCAGTTTGCATTAGATATTAGAAAAAATCAATATCCTCCAAAGCACCATAAATGCTGTAATTTTCTCCTCAGACCTATGGATCGGTATGGCTGGCTGGAATATTCTGTTTTGCTTTGGAAATATAACCTAGATGCAGTACAACCATAGATTAAATATAACCATTGACTATTGGATACAGAAGTCTATAATACTATTGTATTAATAGTCAAAGATATAACACAAGTCGACTTATTATGGCATTGTTAATTCAAATTTTTTTCATGTCTAGTTAATTTTGGTGACACTGGACGTCAGTTTTGACGAATTTTTGTTTTTGTTATTTTAATGTTAGTTCTATGATGTGTGTTTTAATTTCTTGTAATATAAACAGGAGACGACCTATTCATTGTTAATGATTAGATTGTTTTATTTTGGATAAACTAGGTTCAAATAACATACATAAAACATACTCCTTAAATAACAAGAATTGTTTTCAGCTAGGCTAATCCAAAACGATGACAAATCAACTAAAGCAGTATGTTTAATCTATGGTATCACGTACTGTATGGAGTTCATGTTTTTGAGCCTGGAATTGGAATCAATTCAATGTTTTTTTTGCAGGAATGCTCGGTGGGTTGAGTTTTTTGTTTCAGTCCCACGGCCACGAACGTGAGCATTTATTAAAGGCATAAAATTGCAAAAAGTGTTTAAATCGGCATTTTGTTAAGGCTGTAAAAAAAAAACTTGCAATGATTACGACGAGGAGTGGTATTCAAGCAATTAACTTAGGCCTATGGGCATGATATAGTTTTTAATAAAGGTTTGAAGGAAATTAACTGTGACCAGACTAGGGGGCGGAAAATTATTTGGGCCTAGGGGCGCAAAAATGCTGAATCCGGCCCTGCTTTTGGCGAACTGAAATTCGCTTACACATTTATCTCGCCATAACGGTCAAAAACCATAGTGTGATAGAAACATAGACATAGTAGAGGCTTCTCACTGGGCGGCAAACCGTATAGTGTGTAAGGAGCGGAATTGTAACAGCGTGTAACACTGTCAGAAAGGCACAAGGAGACCCTTTTCTGATTTACATACTATTCAAATCAGCTGCAAGGGGTCATCCCCTGACTAAATACAGGTTGTATTGCTGTTTTAACCTTTAAGTTTTTCAGTTAAAGAAAAGCAAATAGAAAGCTTTACTGCCTCTAAAGAGACAGTTAATCTTTGTCTTTAGTTGTTAAAGCTTCAGATGTCTTTAATTGTATTAAATACACAGGTCCGTCCATTAAGCAGTCTGTGATAGTATATTTTATACCAGTGTTGTTTTTGTAATTCATGTAATTACCACCTAGTAAGATAGTTAGAAGAATAAGTAAGAATTCTTTGAATGGTAGGAATTTTTTCCTATTATAGTGGCCAACATATTGTCCCAAATTGTATCCCTAAATTAGGAATTTCTAATCAATTTTATTTGACATAGGTTGGTAAATAACAAATTTTTTATTACAAATATGTAGGCCTAATATTTTAAAATATTTCAAGTGAACAGACAACATTTTAAAGATTTAATTGGTTAACAGATGAAATTTTAACTATTTAATTGATTGAAAATTACTGGAGTCGATTATCCAAAACAATTTGGGATAGGGCTGTTCGAATAGCTTTATTTAAAACCATTTGAAAATATTCTTGTATGTTTACATATGTATTTTGTCCAGATTTTTGCCATCTTCATCGTTTGTTATGTGTATATTTATTTTGAAGAACACGATCAAATTTTGTGACAGCTTTACAGTTCTTTTCGTTTGTCACATTTATACAACTCCTTATTCCCAAGCTTAAAAGTTAATCCATCAGCACCATTTTATCTAACTGCTTGAATATACAGTCATTGACTTTATAAAGTCAATGATACAGTATAAGTTTTCAGATACACTACGAACTACAAATTTAAATAATAACTAGTGGCTTGTAAGGACGTAAGTCCCTAAAAAGCTCAAATCTAAAACAAATTATTGTAATCTTGAAACAAACTCAGAATCAAATTATCTATGAGTCAGGATAGATATTCCAGTACAACTTATATTGTAAAAATAAAAATAAAACAGTTTGTTGTTCATCTTTGTTTGCTTTTGTTGATGTTTTCAATAAATAATTTGAACAACTCAAGAGGTTTAACTCTGCTTAAGGCAGCAAACCTGTTTGTGAATAAATATTGGTTTACTAAGGTAACTTTGGTCTTTTGGTTAATGATGAAAAAGGCTTCCCTGATTGAAATATTGGAAATTGTCTTCGTCAAATATGAAAAGACAAAAAAATGTGTGTTGAGATAAACTTAGTTCTTTTAGTTCTTGGTCAAAACCGCTAAATTAGCACTCCGAATCGGTTATTATTTCTATGTTTATGCTCATTTTGTAAAGGTTTGACAAAATTAGTGTAAAGTAAAGGCACCACGTTGACAGAACTTTGCCCTAAATTTGTTTCTGATCAACATTAAAAAACTACTATTAGCCTAGTATAAGACTTACTTAGTATATGTGGTGGTAATCATCTTGAAAGGTGATATTGACTTTACATATCCTATCAAAAAAGGGCCTAATCAACGTCTGGTTACTAACTATTTTGCGACTGGTTATGGTTCCATTACCCAGTTATTGAATTTAATCACGACACACATATTTTTGGTTAGTTTTAAGAAACGAAAATTACCTCTAGGTTTTACTGTTATACGTTGGTGCTCCCTTTACTACCGTGCATGCTATGCTATATTATTTGAACCTGTACTTGGTTAGTCTCCTCTAAACAGTTGTTTTTTCCGCCCATTGGAACTTGTCATTGTACTTCCTTAATAAACGAATAACTGTATGAACCCCCATTTCATCATTATTCCAAAATTGTTTTCCAAGAGGTTATTCAACTTCATACAAAATATTGATTAAACTCTACAATAAATTTCAAATATAAATATTAGTAAACTAGGTGTGCAATGCAGTTGTATGCTTGCAATATTGAGCGGAGCTAGCATATTAATCCAATACTTTTCTAAAGTCAATTTTACATCTGTTCCTCGCAAATGAGATACTTGCAGATCCAATGTCAATGGTATATTTGGTTCACTTAAATGGAATGTCTATTTGCAGTATTCTAAGTCAATTATAAGTCTGGTTCACGCAAATGAATTGTCTACTTGCAGGAACCAAAGTTTATGTTTCATATGGTTCTCATATATTAAATGTCTAATTACAGTATCCAATGCCAATGATACATTTGGTTCGGATAAATAAAATGCCTATTTGCATTATCTAAATTCAATGGTACGCATTGACGGTTTACATAAATGGAATGTCTATTTGCAGTATTCCAAGTTAATGATACAAATTGTTTACTTGCAGTATCCAAAGTC